CGGCCGGTTTATGGCAGTCTCGTACGCCATGGAGAACCCGACATACAGCACTGTGCGCAGCTACATCCTCATCACCGTTTACCTCCTCGGCGCATCGCGGAGGAACTCGGCCTTTATGCACTTGGGCGTCGCTGTCCGGGCCGCTTACACACTGGGTATTCACCGAAAAGACAGTCCTGCGCTTTTTTCGGCGCAAGAGCAAGCCGTTCGGGAGCGGTTGTGGACATCTCTTCGTGTCCTCGACTTGTTTTTGAGCGTCTCATTGGGTCGTCCGCTGGCGACTTCCGAGACCCGTGATACCGCGGGTACGGAGGATTACTCGGCCTCACTGGACCTCTGCGCCATCCTTGAGTCCATTCTCAACGACGTCTACGCTAAGCGCATGGTGTCTACTGATGCCGTGGAGCGAATCAGCGAGCAACATCGTCGCTGGGCCGCGAGGTTCAGCCATGATCTTGCTGCTGATATGGTATCAAGCCGGAACGACTCCGTCAATGCAGAGGACGAGAAGGAGTGCCCCGACATGGAGCTCTACTACACGAAGGAAGCATACTACTGGAGCATCATGCTCTTATCACGGCCTTTCCTCATCGACTTTGTTTCGAGAAACATGGCACGAGCCAAGACACCTTCGATGTGGAGTCATGACAGACCATTTCACTCATCGCCGTCGGATCAGCTTCTTGTGCATGCTTGCGTGGACTCGGCAATCCGCAGCATCGAACTTCTGGCCGTTTTTAAACAAGATGCGACCCTTGCTAAAAGACATCCCTTCCTGATTAACTCCGTATTTGTATCGGCGCTGGTACTTGGGCTAGCAGTCTTTGGGGACTTGGATAGCACCTTTCCCTTGGATCAAGGGTTGAACGACGCACTGGCGCTTCTACGGAACCTCAGCAGACATGACCTTGTTGCAAGCAGGGAACTCTCAATCGTGGAGCATCTTCAGAGCGCTTGCGTGCTGCAAAGGGGAAGAAGAATCCGAGAAAAGATGGAATTCCAAAGAATGCTCGTTGGCGAGCTGTTTGGCAGCATCCATGCAGGAGCCTTGCCAACAGAAACGTCAAGATTTGACACCGGCTTTCTCCCTCGAGTTAATGGGAACTTCAGGGACATAAGAATCACCGATTCCGAGGCGACGGAGACAAGCAGCATGGGTCAAGGTGGCTCTTTAACGACAGAAAGTACGGCCGAACCGCACTTTCCTGGCAGTGAATCAAGTCGAGGGTCAAATGTGGTTCAGGCTCTCACGCCATCGACAGATATCATGCTACCGATGTCGCCAAGAACCCTGCTCTTCGACTCATATGGCCAAGATATGCCATTCTTCCCAACAATGGATGCTAGCATGGCGCATTTGAGTTACACAGATGATATTATCTTGTCTGATGCGGGCGCTTTGCTGGAACCTCCATGCTAGAAAACGCATAGCTATGGCGAAAAGGTGCAAGATATCGAAAGCAGACGAGTGGTTGGGAACATTTATTGCCCAAGGCGCAAAAGCCTTCATGCGCCAGCCTGGAGTTTAGTAGTCGAGAGATCGAGACACCAATGTGTCCTTCATACTACTAGGAAAACGGTCATCCTTCTCTAGCTTTGAGAGCTTACACGGATTTTGATGAGTATGGGTTACAGAAAACTGATAGAACGGCAAACTACAAACCTAGATCGAGCAAATACGGCCTACAAAGGTGTCTTTTGATCTATTCAGAAAATGTATGGCTTGTAGCCATAGCATAACATCTGACTGCTCAAAAAGCGTTCAACAGCTACTCTGAACTATTGCTTGGTTCTGGTCATTAACGATAAGTCTGCATGCAATATTATAGTTTGCTGTGAAAGCAACTGGAGCTATGGTACTAGAACTTCTTTCAACACTCCCTAGTTCTGCAACGTATCTGGAATAAAGTGAGCATGTTTCTGGTCTGCGTAAGATATGTCAACTTGCCTATTGGCGCTCCATATGCTGATACACAGCGACGGATTTTGCTGAAGTATTTCGAAGATTGGAACATGACAGCAGGATTTAATCTTTTAGCTTTCATGTCGCGATTAAGACTAACGTACATGTATAGCGAGTTGCGTATTATAGCGAGTTACGCAGTTCCTTATTACACCTTAAAGGCTATTTTCCCACTTTTTTCTAAAAAAACGAAACCTTAACTAAAAACAATATATTCTTTTGTATTAAGTTATAATAAGATTTAGATTATAAGAAAAAATAATCTAGAAGTTTTATAAACCTTATAATACCTTAAACCCTTATCTACCTCTTCCTATAAGGGTTAAGGTAAAGACCACCTTATATAGCAGATAGTATTATTTATACTATTTTTCTTTATAATCTAATCTTATTATAACTTAATACAGAAGAGTGTATTATTTTTAGTTAAGGTTTTGTTTTTTAAGAAAAAAGTAAAAAAGTGGCCTCTAGAGTGTAACAAGGAAGTACGCAACTCGCTGTGATGCACGACTCACTATGCATGTACGTTTTATTAAGTCCCTATTTTTTCTGGCTCACTGAAAATAGACACAATGACAAACGCATTACTCCACCCGAATTCTTCTAATTCTGGCGCGGTACTTCTGTTCATTGGTGGTGTGGCGACGTCCTGTACTAGTGACCTAGTCTAAACGAGGGCCATAGCTATTCATAGGCCCAAAGAAACATAGACAGAAGTCACATGAATAATGATATTTGATATTCGTCTCTCATCACCCCCCCTGGTGCCCCGCAGTCAGTAGTACATGATTGAATGGCCATTCGGCAAAATCGGCTGCTCGCGTGTTTCCCAACCCCGAAGTGTCCCACCCGCGACCCGAAAGGCTGTGCTACGTTCCCGGAAGTATCTAGACACACGTATTTCATCCGATGACTATCGATACAATCTTTGCATGACGTAATAACCTTTTTTATGATAAAAATACTATGCATGACTAGACCTCGGGCTGGGCGTAATAGTAAGTCGCAGCAGTCATACAGTGATACGTAGTGTCGTGGGGCTCACCCGAAGTTCCGTTTGGGAGAAGATAAAGAGCTGTGCCGCATTGCCTCTCTCACCCACTTCTCTCTACCACTCAATCATATGGCTCCCTAGCACTTTATCTTCGTTTTCGTATGAAAATCCGAGAATAGAAGGATAGACAAGAGGTAGTCTGTGCTGTCTCACCAAGCCGCCAAACAGCGTTATTAGGGTGTTCACTTCTCTGAGGACAACCTTCAAACTTTCTCAGTTGCCGCAAATCTCCTCCCCCGCCCCAAAGCTCTCAAGATGACGCCGCCACCCGAATTCTCCCAGCGCCCAGAAAAGCCTTTCAATGTGGCGGTGATTGGGGGTGGCATCGCCGGTTTGACGCTTACCCTTCAGTTACTCCAGAATCGGGTACCGACAACGCTGTACGAGAGAGCGCCAAAGTTTGGTGAGATCGGCGCGGGCGTATCTTTCGGTCCAAATGCTCTGAGGGCCATGTCGCTGATCTCACCGCACGTACGGCAAGCCTTCGAAAACCAAGCGACGCATAACCAATCAGAGGACTACCAGAACGTATGGTTTGACTTCAGATACGGCGAGACCTGCGAAGGCAAGCACCACGAGGGCGAACTCATTCACCGTTTGATCTGCGAGACTGGCCAGACTGGCATTCACCGAGCACACTTTCTGGATGAGCTGGTCAAGTTACTGCCTGACGGGGTTGCGAAATTCGGCAAACACGCTGTCGACTACGAAGATGACGGCACGCGCGTGTTACTGAAGTTCCAAGATGGCACTACCGCCATACATGATGCAGTGATTGCCTGCGACGGCATCAAGTCACAGTTGCGGCGCGTGATGCTCGGTGATGACCATCCCGCCTCGAGGGCCGTCTTCTCCGGAAAGTACGCATACCGTGGCCTCATCCCTATGGAGGAAGCGGAAGAGCTATTGGGCAGCGAACTTGCCAAGAACAGTCAGATGTATCTAGGAAAACACGGCCACATCCTAACCTTCTCCGTCGCGAAAGGCAAAAACATGAACGGTGAGTGACATGAGGGTTCTCTATAATGATCGATATCAGATGTTAACGATACAGCAGTGGTTGCTTTTCGCAGTGTGGAAGAGTGGAAGTCGGATGAATGGGTTATGGCGGTCAAGAGGGAGGATATGATGAAAGACTTCGAAGGCTGGGGCGACAAGTCTCAAAAGATTATCCAGATGCTGCGGAAACCTGACGTGTGGGCGCTTTTCGACCACCCACCAAGCCCGACCTACTACCAAGGACGTGTATGCCTGCTGGGCGATGCGGCACATGCCTCGACGCCTCACAAGGGCTCCGGTGCGGGCATGGCGATCGAAGATGCCTACATTCTCGGGAACTTGCTAGCCCTGATCAACGGTCCTGAGGAAATCGAGATGGCATTTGCGACGTACAACAAGACGAGAAAGGAGAGGTCGCAGAAGCTGGTGACCGATAGCCGGGAGCAGGGGAAGCTATATGATTTTGAGTTGACCGACGACCCTGAGCGGATCGCAGACAACTTGTCAACTCGCATGGACTGGGTCTGGAAATATGACTTGACTCAAGAACTGCAGCGAGGTCGTCAAGAGATTGAGAAATACCGGAACGATTCGACGACGAGAGCACAACTGTAAATTTAAAGGGAGCAATAAGCAAGACGCGGGTTCATCTCGCAACTGCTACTTATCCATAACGAGTGTTGATTTTGTCGGTAGTTTGCGCTCGAATCTAGGAATCCATGTAAGTTGTCGTTTATTTAAGAGATCCTAGCCACTGTTAAAGGAAGCCAAGGGGAATCATAATTCTCCTTAAAACCGACTCTAGAACAGGAACTTCAGACATGCTTAAAACACCAAAGACCATGAGCAGACGGTCGGGCGACTTTCCCAGTGCGGTACTGGTCCTGGACCTCACGCAATTCTTTGCCTCTTCGGGTCGGTAGTCATGAATCGATGAGGCGTGGGGACATACCAGCAGTCCACTTCATCATGAGGAGTTCTTACGCCCTGGTGGTCTAGCGGTATGATTCTTCCTTAGGGTTGTCAAAAGATATATCCACTTGGAAGAGGTCCCAGGTTCGATCCCTGGCCAGGGCCCACCCACCCAATGCTTTTGATACACTGCCCTAGAGGTAGATGAATGGAGCCTCACCGTTTTTTGTAACCAATGCGAGCCAAGTTGAGAGACCATCCCTTGCTTGCAGCTTGCTGTAGCCGCGATGTATGACAACTTGTGTATAACTAACTTAACCTATCTATGTAGTTAACAAAGATTACATTAGCGGGTAGTGACTGGTGATATGATATGTATCGCGGACTTAGAACTTGTGAACCTTGGTCGAATTACGCTAAAGACCCTGTTCAGTCTTATGCTAGACCATAGTGCTGGATTTCCCTTGCAAAGAACCCGCATTTAGGAATATGTTTGGTGAGCATTATGCATTGAATCATCATCATATCTATAGGGTATCATATCTCTATATCCATGCTGTAAAGCAATCCGGCAGGCCATTTCCGGAGCAGTAAGCTCAAGTGAGGCCACCCACGAAAGTTACAAAAACCAAAGGGAATTTGGCAACCATCGTATAACCCACCCATCTTCACATGTGAGTGAACAGAGGGTTGTCGCCCCAAGTTGTTCCTAGTGGTCAAGTAACCCAACGTAAAAACGACCCACTGATACTGATTAGACGTTAGGTACGTTTTCTCCAGTTCCAGTCACTGGCCATGCCTCTAGAAAAGGCGATCATGGCACTCCCTAATGCAAGACAGACACCAGACCAGATCCAAGCACTAGAATACCCGGTTGAGCGCACCAAGGCGCCTCCAACCGGAGATCCAAACAACAAGGCGATAGCCATGACAGAGTAGGCCATGCCGAGCCGAGTACCAATGTAGTTGCGGTCCTCGGTGAGCTTGGCAAAAGTGGCCGGCTGGAGAGCGAAAAAGCTCCCGCTGCTGAAGCCGTAGAAGACGATTGTCACAACCAAATCAGCGGTATGTTCGACTGCCACGAGGCAGAACGCCGAAATCGACATGATGAGCACCGCGGCGATGAGAAGGTTCATCCCCCCGAGACGTTGGGCAAACAAGTTGGGAATTATGCGGCCCAAGATGGACCCCCCGTTCATCATGGCCAGCAGGTATTTGTCCACCCGAGAGCTCGCGGCACCCCTCTGGAGAGCAAAGTTATGGATGTAGACGAACGGAGTGTACATGCCCAGAAACACCAGGCAGCAAGCGGCCACGAAGAGGAGGTAGGGAATGTCGTTGAAGGCGGAGTGGTCAATCCAGGCCCGCCTCTGATGCGAAGCCTTGGGTGTATGCATGCTGACAATGGACACACCCTGGACGAACAGCGCGACTAGCGCTATGGCGCGGACTGTCCAAGCGAAGCCGATTTCAGGCTGGAGGGAACGAAATACGATAGGCAGTACCAGACTATAGAGGAGGGATGTGAGTTAGTTATCGGCTGCCATATGTGGAGGAACACTCAAGAAAATCCCTGATGCCATTAAGACTTACCCACCAACGCCGCTCCCAGCCGCAGCAACACCAAAAGCCACGGGCAATCTCGTAGAGAACCACGGCGATAATACCGCAACCCCCAAAACAGCTAGGCTGCCCATCCCGGTTCCGATGCAGAGCCCCTGCGACAGGAGCAGCTGCCAAAGGTTGCTGCTGAAGCTCTGGGCGACGGTTCCGACAACGATCAGCAGGGACCCTGCCCAGAGCAGCTGGCGCGCATAGCCCAGGTCAAAGACGGGCCCTGCGAAGCAGCCAAGGAACACCATCAGGAAGCTCTGCAAAGAGCCGATTGTGGAAATGGCGAACGGGCTGTACTCCTTGAGCAGGTCGGCTTCATAGTGAACCTGGAAAACGCCGAAACTGGCAACGAGCCCTGGTCATCCTATGTCAGTGCCGAGATAAAGCAGTCATAAAGGGTGTCCAGAGTTGCGGTGCGTGCACAGCCAGTCAAAGTTAAACACGAAATGATAACAAGAAGGGTGGTATTGATCGCGTTCGGATATGGGCCATAATGTGACAGAAGTATAACTCACCCCAAGTATTAAAGTAAATACAAAAGGAAGCCAGCACCTGAAGCCAAGCCCGTAAGCCACCGTCCGGGGGCGCTGTCGGCTTCCCAGGTGTCGCGTGTGGCCGTCCGAGATCGTCGGCGCCACTCTCCTCGTCGGTGCCCGGCGAGAGACTCGGCGTGTCCCGGTCGAATTTTTGCCCGCCGCCGTCGTTGTGTCCGGAGGACTTCTCCTTTTCCGTCAAGGACGGCATCGCTCAGCGTAGCACAGAACGGCTAAAAAGGCAGAGTTGCATGGATGTCGCCTTTTTCTTCTTCTTCAGTTGTCTATCGTTCTTCTTGGTTCGCTCGTGTAAGTTCCGGGATGCTACGTGCCGCCCCTCGTCTGAATCTCCTTCTCTAGGGGATCCGTGGGCGTGCTATACCGCTTAATCGTTGTGCTTCCAACAAGCAAACAAGAAAACCCAAGTATGGTGAAGGTATGAGTTGATCACCTAGTGTCGGGTGCAAAACAGGAAAATCAAAAGTGAGATATGACCGCTTTCTCTTTTTGATTTTGTGTTTTTTCTTTCATTGAGGTGAAGAAATCTTAAAAAGACATTAGCACATTTGTTTGTTAAATACCAACAAGGCGGATTCTCCCATGGACTCTTGGGGAACAGAAAGCGCCAGGGCCTCCTCGCCGGATGCTCGGGTTGAGGTGGTCACCGTTGCGGCTGTCGCAGGCCATGTTACAAAGGTCGGATGGCCCTAAAAACATGTCTTCGCTGCGATGCAACAAGTAAAACACATTGTCCTGGCCTATCAAATTCTCTCAATCGACGTACCAATTATGAAAACCGACTCAGTTGGTTATGTAGGAAAGTTGCTGCTATTGTTTAACCTAGGTTTCCAATTTCTCGCAAACTAGAGTGGTTTGGATGTACTCAGGGGGAACCGGCAGTATATCATCAATGAGGTTAGAAAGAGTTATTTGGTTTTTAGACCCTACATAGTGCACAAAAGAGCAGAAGAGCCGCGAAAGAGTCAGACTACGAGAAGTATTCATCACATCTTCTTCACACATGGCATTTTGGGCGGGATGCCCTCGGGTACAAGTGCCCGCCGCGGGCAGGGCGACGACCGTGGGCTCGTCTGACGCCTCTCGGACCTCGTCTGGAATCTGGGGATGTAACCGGTCTTTGAGTATTTAAGGCTCGTCGAAACCTCGGAGTAGTGGGTTCGGCGATTGGTATGTCGAGAGCCATTGCGGCTAGACAATATGGGGCGGTGGACGAAGGATTGCCCGTTTTGACCGGCTCGGTCATAGTCCGTCGCATCGTGGCGGGGACTCTTTGTCTTCTGGCTCCATCCTTTTGTTATCCAACGCCGAGATTCGCATAGAAGGGCGGAGGCTTTGCCCTGATAACGGGTTCGCTCTGATAACGATACCGAGATCCCACCCTAGATTTCTTGGTATGGAGATCGAAAACTGGAGACCCGCGATCATTATCGGATCGAATTCTTGACTAGGAACGAAGTGAGCGACGCGCCGTAACTTTCCGCAGATTTGCCGCCTCGTTGCCGCGGCCGGGCCAGGCTGGGCGTTTTGGAAAACATTTACTGTTTAGCAGGGAAAAAAGTTTATTGACACAACCTTTTGGTCAAACGCCGTCGCCCAATGGCGTGCCTTGGTTCAGGTTTCATCCCACCATCCCATCCTGTCGGCGACCTGTTGGTGGATGGGCCTTGGAGGACTTTTAGAGAGCCGCGCAGACCTGACAAGGGGAAGGAATCGGTTTTGGAAGAACCGAAGGGAAGGGTATTGGAGAGCGTGAAGTACAGGCCGATTGAAGTGTGAGATAAAGTTGCAGGGTTCCTGGCCGGCCGTGCCATCGGAAAGTGACAGGATTACTCCGCTGCCACGTTCACTTTATCTGGAAACCAATCGGAGTAGGGGAGGGTGCTGATCATGTTCATTCATAGCAGAAGCCCGCTGCATGAATGGCCCATACGCATCGTAACAGCAACAGAACCAGCAAGGCGACCGTTGCAATTGGTTTTTGGCAATCCTAGACAAGCCAGCCATCCTCGGCGCGGGGTAGTCCCGCCACCCTTCGCTCCAGCCAACGAGGCCAATATCACATATGTCTGACTTCACGACGGCGCTAAAACTGACCTCCTCGGCTGGTCATTCGGCTGTGAAGGACGACTTTGTCAACCCTTGTCCTTCGGGTCCCCTTAACCTCGCGCGGAGTGGCTTGGAAAAGCCTGGTCAGAGATTGGGAATACCCCGGCGGGGCGGGACGGTAAGCCTGTCGGCCAACCTCGAGCACCAGACCGTATTTGCCCGAGACGAGGTGGTAAAGACGCCTCGGGTCCTCTTTTGTCGCGTGCGATAGGTAGACCTTCGGGCAGCGCGGGCCAGCGGTCTAGATGCCTCGAGACCACTCCAGGACCAGGGTTGTGCCGCTACCGCTGTACGATATATGCCTTGAGGGAAAGGAAAATAGAGATGAGCTAGTGTGTTTTTTTGAATTTGCGGAGCATGGGGACGCGGAGAAAGGATTTTCGCATGGACACGGAAGCGCCAGTTCATCCCGTTTCCATTACGTCCCCCTCCGTATCTTTCTAGCTTTCGGAGCACAAACACCCCAGCAGTTCCAAAAAGTCAGAAGTGCGGCTCAGGAGCCAACTAGCCATAGAGGGAAGCAAGGGAGGGGGCATTATGGATAGAGTACAAGCACCCAAGACAACTTAGAGAACAAAGCTTAATACCGGTGATGTAATTACCCGGCGTTCTTCTCAATGGTGAAGACGTGCTTCTTTGCCGGCTTGATTGCGTCCCTAACCAGTGCTGTGGCGACGTCAACCACAGCATGGGTAACAGTGCGTCGCTCAATGTCGTAACTCGTGATCAGATCATCGACCATGCTGAGGCTGAGCTTGTCTTTCGTGGTAATGCTTGTCAGTCTTTACGCAATGGCGAACATGACGATGCCGGAGATGAGGCACTGCTGCCATTGAACGAGTGGGCGTGAGCTGCGTCGCCCGCCAAGTCAAGAGGATGCGGCCTCGGCCA